TTGCTGCCCCCTTGAATGGTGGTTCTGCCCTGTGGCACGCCATCCGTCCCCACGTGGTCTCCTGGGTCAGCACCGCATAGCTCAGTCACCTTCCCAGCTACTGGGGCAATGTTTTTGTCTGCTTGCCGCAGGTGCCCGGTGCTCTGCAGCGGCTCTAAGCCATTCTCCACTTGCTGTCCCTGCCTGGAGCCCACTCTGTTGCGCAGGGGCTGGGAAGCAGGTGGCTCAATCACCCGCAGGCTCGGTCTCTGTGCCAGCAGGGCGCACGGTGTGGCAGCTGGGAGAATAAATCACCAAGAGTTACTTCTCAATAGAGACAGGGTCCAGTCCGGGGCCAAGGTGCTGGGCATCAGGGAGCTGAGTTCATCTTGGCTGTGCCCAGACTCTCTGGGACCTTGGGTCAATCACAGAGGGTCACTGGCCTCAGCTCTGTAACCGGGACGAGAGCATGGCTCTGCCTCATGGCAGGGTCATCTCAGGAACTCACAGTGAAGTTGCCCTGGGACATTCTCCAAAAGTTAATGAAAGTGGGTGCCAGGGAGCGCACTCCCTGACACCACCTCATGCAGGGCACATGTACAAAGACCCTCCCCCACCTCCCTGGAGCTCTCCATAGCGCACTCAGCAACATTGGGGGGGGGGGGTGGATCAGTCAGAGACCCACCTCACTGCCACTTGCCCTCCCTACTCTCCGGAGCCATCAGGCTCAGTACAGCGACACCCACTGCTGGCTGACCTGTGCTGCGGGCATGCACAGCCGATGTGGGGGTGAACTCAGGGTATCTCCTGCTAGTCCCCCTAGGGCCCACCCAGGCTGAGCCCCCAGAATCCAGAGACCAGCCCTGCGCTGGAGCCCACCCAGCGGTTCAGAGACAGCCGGATCCAGTGCTGGGGAAAGGAGGCCTCACCCAACAAACCACCGTTCCAGCCGTTCTCCTGCCCGCTGGCCCTCTGGGGCGCCCTCTGCCGCTCGGCCGGCAGGGCCCGCTGCGCTGCACCGACATCCCTGGCCCCTTCCTGGGCTGGCACCCGCGCCTGAAACAACAAGTGTCTCTGCTTAGTGCCAGCTAGTCCAGGCACTGTCCCCAGCACCACACGGGCCCATGCTGTGGAGCCACAAAACGTCCCCTGCACCAAGGACCAGGCACAGGGCAAGCAGCAATCCTGGTGCCATCACCCCCCACACCACTCTGCTCCCAGGGGGCGAGGCCATGGGATGTGCAGCATCCCACGTGCTCACCTGGGGCTGCCATCCGGGCTTCTGGGGAACAAGCTGGAAATCCTCTGCCAGGGCCACGGCCTCCTGGCCGCTCTCTGGGCCACGCTCCCGCACCCAGCTCTGCATTTCCTCAGGCAGGAGGCTCAAGAACTGCTCGAGAACCAGCAGCTCCAGCACCTGCTCCTTGGTGCGGGTCTCTGGCTGCAGCCAGCGATGGGAAAGTTCCCACAGGCGGCCGTAAACCTCCCGCGGCCCTTCGGCGTCCTGGTAGCGGAAGCCCCTGAAGCGCTGGCGCTGCGTCTCTGTGTCGTGGCGGCGCAGGACAGCTCCCTTCACCTTGGCACCGTCACCAGCCTCACTGGCATCCAGGCTGGCGTGGGTCTGTTGGGCTTCCCCGCCGAGGGGAGGGAGGAGTCGGGCTCCCCGCAGGCCTTTGGGCCCCTGGCAGGTGTCAGTCACTCGTCTGGAGGAGGTGAGATCAGTCTCATTCTCACCCCCTTCTCCATCTCCCCGTGAGGCCAGGGGGCCCAGCAGCCCCTCCCGACACCGCTCGCCCCAAGTCTGCTGCCCATTCAGCGGTTGCTGCGGCACCAGCCAGCGCAGGATCTCATCTGCCGTCCAGTACTGCACGGCTGGGGGTGCTTTCCCTGCTCGCTCCGGGACCCCAGCGGGTGCAGGGCCTGCTGCCTCGGCCTCCTGCCCCTTGGCCTGGGCTCGCACTGCCTGCTCCAGCAGAGTGTGGAACTGGAGCCCAGCTCCCTCCCGCGCCACCGGCTCTGGCTCCTGCAGTGGGGGTGCGGGCTGGGCCAGGGCCCCCACCATCTCCAGCTGTTTCTGGAAGAGCTTTTCCAGGAGCTGGGCCTGGAACTCCCGGTCCTCCCGCCGCATCTCCCGGTCATGCTGGATGAACTCGGCCAGGCTCTGCCTCTCCTCTGCCCTCCAGGCGCCAGCACGCCTTGCCCGCTTCAACTCCAGCTGGCTGCGCCCATGCTTCTGGGTGGGGCCCCGTGCAGTCTCCAGTGGCCCATCCTCCCGCACCTTGCGCTTCCTGGCCCGAAGGTGCACGAGCCGGTCCAGCGCCGAGACCAGTTTCCGGGAGGCCGGTTGGGGCTCTGCCGATGCTGATGGGGAAGGGTCTGGGGAGTGCAAAAATGCAGAGTGAGGGCCCACAGTGCACCTGGCCTGGCACGCAGCCCACTGTACCAGTATGGGTCACCCCCACATCTTGGCCAGGGAAACAAAAACCCCTCTATGCAACAGGCCGGGATCCCCCGCAGGACCCCAAACCTCTAATGCAGTGCAGGAGGGATTCCCAGCACCCAGCGACCCTTCACCAACAAGGGGGCTTACCAGGCTCGTGTGGCAGCTCATCCGCGGATGCCTCTTCTTCCTTCACCTGCACTCGCACAGCCTGCACTTCGCCCAGCGGGTCCTGCACCTCAGGGAGCACATAGCCTGGCTCCTCACATCCCCAGCTCTCAGTGGCCTGGGTCCCCCAATGGTCAGAGGCTGAGGCTGGTGCTTCCCAGCTTTCTGGGGCAGCTGTGCCCTCCTGCCTGTCCGCGGCGCCAAGCCCCTCGCCACTCTCTGCCAGGAGGCTGGAGCGGGTGCTGACACAGCGCTGCATGATCTGGTCCATCTCCTCGTAGAATGGGCAGCGCATGGGTGGCCTCCCGGCCGCGTTGTTCTCCTTGGCCTTGCGATAAGCCACCTTCAGCGCTTTCATCTTCTCCCGGCACTGGTCCCCGGTGCGGTAGATGCCGAGCTTGGACAGGCGCTGGGAGATGCCATCGTAGACAACCCTGTTCCTACCATGGGAGCCCAGATCGTGCACAGCAGCCGCCTCTGCCCAGTAGGAGATGAGCACCATGACATGGTCAGCCGGCCAGCTGGCCGCCCGCTCCGGGGGCCGGTCCCGACGCATCGCAGGGGTTGGGACTGGAATCACTCAGCAGGTGGCACCGCACGGAGCTGGCTGCTGTGGAAACAGCTTGTACCTGGCCGGGATACGAGGGTCTGTGCTAGTAACACAGACACTGGGAGAACGAAGGACGGATTTGCTGGTAACACGTACACCTTGGGGGAAAGAGAATATGTGCTGGTAAGGCACACGCTGGAGGCTACAGAGTGGAGGTATGCACAGGAAAGGTGCGTGCCTGGGAGCAGCAGTGGGAGGCAGGGGGGGAACACGCAAGTAAGATGCATGCCCAGGGGTGGCAGCAGGGCAGGTACACGGAGGTAACCTGGAGGCATCCAGATAGCTGGCCCTGGGCAGCGCCAGGCAGCCACACGGATTCTCTGCAGGGGCCGGTGCAGTGAGGGCTAGCACTCAGAGGCCTAACAACCCTGCTTGCTACCTACAAACCTGCCCTGATCCAGTCAAGGGGAGGGAAAAGCTGTCACTTGAACCCTGAGTCAGCCCTGCCCTGCCTGCAAACTTGCACTCGGCTGCACCACGTCAGCTGCAGCCCATGGCAAAGCAGGGGCTGGAATCAGCCCGCAGCTTCCTAGCCAGACATGCAACCTGCACTCAGGGAGCCCGACCAGCCGCACGCCCTGCTGGGCCACGCAGGACTGGAACTGTGGGACAAATAGACAGCAGGCCAACCGGAGAGAAGGGAGCACTTCTCCTCCCCAATGCAGCATCTTCCTAGAGGAGGGATGGAAACACTCAGGAGTCAGCACAGGACACTCAGGAAAAGGCTAGAACAGCTCAGCCAAAATTTGCCACACTGCTTGTCCCCCACCATAGATACCCCCCCTTCTCCCTGCCCCATAACCCACCTCCTGGCCCACTACCCCTTTACCCAGCTCCCTGCTCCTCCGACCCTCAACCCAGCTCCTTGCCCTATAGCCCACCTTCTGGCCCGCTACCCCATAACCCAACTTCCAGCCCCCACCCAGACAAGACATGCCCCTCCCTGCCCATCCTCCCCCATACCCAGCTCCCTGAATCCATAACCCAGCTTCCTGCCCCGTCCCATGGCTCCCTGCCCTATAGCCCACCTCCTGGCCCGCTACCCCATAACCCAACTCCCTGGCCATGACAAGCCCCCCTACCCAGTTCCCTGCGGCTCACCCATAACCCAGCTCCCTGACCCCCGGCCAAGCCATGCCCTTCCCTGCCCATTCACCCCGGACCCAGCTCCCCGCCCCAACCCCATAACCCACCTCCTAGCCCGCTACCCCACAGCCCAGCTCCCTGCCCCCCGACCCAGCTCCCTGCCCCCACAGCCCAGCTCCCTGCCCGTTCACCCCGGCCCCAGCTTCCTGCCCCAACCCCATAACCCACCGCTACCCCACAGCCCAGCTCCCTGCCCCCCGGCCAAAACGGGTCCCTCCCCACCCCAGCGCCCAGTTCACTGCCCCAGCGCAGACCGGCCCCGCCCGCGGATACCTGGGGGGCTCCAGGCGGTGACCTGGGGGGGGGTCCCCTGGTCTCCGGGGGCAGGCCTCGACCCAAGGCAGCGAGAGGTACAGGCCCGGCTCTGCCTATTGGCTGCTGCTCTTGGGAGGTGAGGGGGCGGGCAAAGAGAAGTCCAGCCCTTCCGCGGTGTGACACGAGAGCCTGTCCAATCGCTGCCTACATTCGCCTCTCTGACAGGTCTGTTCACCAATCGCTGATCGGATGAACTCCAAAAGATCAACCTATCTCTGCCAGCTCCTCACTCGAGGTGTCAGCAAAAATTGACAGAGGGACAAGACCGTTCGCTACGCCCCTGCACCCTGACTGGCCGCTCGATCAGCCAATCGACGCTCCCTCTCCTTCATGACTGGTCAGCCAATAGCGGGTGGTCTCCCGGCAGCGGCGGCATTTGCTGAGAGCTTCCGGGGCAGGCGACGGCCCCCCGCTCATGCGGGCTCAGGCTGCGGTAGGTGGGTCCTGTCCTGCCCAAGCTCGGCGGGCGGGCGGCTCCGGGGCCAGGCCCCGGCCGCGGCCGGGACTGCTGCGGCTCCGCACGGGCCGATCGCCCCCCGCGAGCCGCTGGCCTGGTCCCGTTCCCGCGGTGGGGACAGTGCCCCGGGCCAAGGCAGGAACTCCTCCCTCGCCCTCCCGGGCAGGCCAGGCGCCAGGGCTCCGGGCGAGCGGGCTCCCTCCGCCCGCCCCGGGCCGGCCAGCCCTTGCCCTCCCCGCGAGCCCCGGGCCGGAGCCGGCCCCAGCCGCGGGGCCCTGGCCCCGCGTGAGTCCCGCTGGGCTGCCGGGCGCGGCTCGCCCCACTTCCGGGCGGGCCCTCCAGGCCCAGGGGCCTCTGCTCGCGTAGCCGTGCCCCGCGCCACCTGGCTGCGAAACGGCCCGCTCCTCTGTGTCGGAGTAGAGCGGGGCACTCGGGGGTAAAGCAACGGCCCTGCAGGGGCCAGGGGCCGGGGAGAGAGAGCCCCCAACGGGACTCGGAACACGGGCGCCTTCGGCTGTGCTGGGGTGTGAGGAGCTGGGCGACGGGTGCGGGGGCTGGACCTGGACCTGGACCTGTCTGTGCTGGGGGGCGGGGAGCTGGGCGACGGGTACGAGGGCTGGACCTGGACCTGTCTGTGCTGGGGGGCAGGGAGCTGGCTGACGAGTGCAGGAGCTGGACCTGGACCTGTCTGTGCTGGGGGGCAGGGAGCTGGGCGACGGGTGCAGGAGCTGGACCTGTCTGTGCCAGGGTGTGAGGAGCTGGGCGACGGGTGCGGGGGCTGGACCTGGACCTGTCTGTGCTGGGGGGCAGGGAGCTGGCTGATGGGTGCAGGAGCTGGACCTGTCTGTGCTGGGGGGCAGGGAGCTGGCTGACGGGTGCAGGAGCTGGACCTGTCTGTGCAGGGAGGCGGGGAGCTGGGCGGCAGGTGCGGGGGCTGGACCTGGACCTGTCTGTGCTGGGGGGCGGGGAGCTGGGCGGCAGGTGCGGGGGCTGGACCTGGACCTGTCTGTGCTGGGGGCCGGGGAGCTGGGCGACGGGTGTGGGGGCTGGACCTGGACCTGTCTGTGCTGGGGGCCGGGGAGCTGGGCGACGGGTGTGGGGGCTGGACCTGGACCTGTCTGTGCTGGGGGGCGGGGAGCTGGGCGACGGGTACGGGGGCTGGACCTGGACCTGTCTGTGCTGGGGCCGGGGAGCTGGGCGACGGGTGTGGGGGCTGGACTTGTCTGTGCTGGGGGCAGGGAGCTGAGTTGCGGGCCAGGGAGTTGTCTGCTGTGGGGCAGGGAGCTGGGTTAAGTGAGGAGGGGGCAGGCAGTTGTCTGTTCTCAGGTAAGGGAGCTAGGCACTGCACCAAGCTCGCCGACCCACCAAGCTTGGCTCCTTGCTCCGCAGCACTTGGCCCCATACGAGCTTTCCCCTCTTCCACTCAGTCTGACACATTGGGGCCCGCATGGCTGCACCTAAGGGGGCTGGCCTGTCCATTGGTGAGCAGAGCCCGCAACGGGCAGCAACTGCAAACTGATCATCTCTCTTGCTCTGTACAGGACACTCATTCCTGCCACTCTCCTTGTCCTGCTTGTGTCCGTGGCACTGGCACCGATGGTAGCGTCTCTGGGGCTGATACCAATCTGAGGATCAGGAACCACCAGCCCTGTGCTAGGGACCTCCTGTGTTTGGTGTTCCCTAGCCTTGGTCCGTGAGGACCCTGGGGCCAGCCTGTGCAGTTTGACACCTGGAGTAGGGGCAAAGAGCACAGGCCTGCGGCCTGGCTTTGCTGGGTCGTGGTGTGTCGTGTTGTGAGGTCCCTGCGTTGGCCTGGTGCTGGGCACTGGAACCTTTCCCTAGGGATCCTCCACGGGTCCAGCCACCGCCTGCTGCGATGCGTCGGGACAAACCTCAGGAACGGGCTGCCAGCTGGCCAGCTGATCACATCAAAGTGCTAATTGCCTTGTGGGCGGAGGCGGCCACCTCACATGACCTGAGCTCCCGTGGCAGGAACAGGGTTGTCTATGATGGCATCTCCCAGCGCCTGGCTGAGCTGGGCATCTATCGCACCGGGGACCAGTGCCGGGAGAAGATGAAAGGCCTCAAGGTGACATATCGCAAGGCCAAAGAGAACAATGCAGCTGGGAGGCCGCCCATGCGCTGCCCATTCTACGAGGAGATGGACCAGATCATGCAGCGCTGCGACAGTACCCGCTCCAGCCTCCTGGCAGAGAGTGGCGAGGGGCCTGGCGCCCCAGACAGGCAGGAGGGCACAGCTGCCCCGGAGAGCTGGGGAGCACCATCCTTTGAGCCATGGGATTCCCAAGCCACTGCTGCCTTTGAGCACTGGGAGTCCCAGGCCTCGGCCTCTGACCATTGGGGGTCCCAAGCTGCAGCCTCAGAGAGCCAGGGGGCTGACGAACTGGGCTACGTGCTCCCTGAGGCGCAAGCCCTGCTGGGCGAGGTGCAGGCCGTGCAGGTGAAGGAGGAAGAGGCGTCCGCGGATGAACTGCTGCCTGAGCCTGGTAAGCCCCTGTTGTTGGCGACGGGTTGCTGGGAGGTGCCACACCAGGGGCCCGACCCTGCCCACTGGCCCTGGTTCCTGGAGTCCTAGCCATGCCAGAATCTTGCCATCCTGGCAAGCAGCAGTTCTGTGTCAGGGCCTCGTGGCTGGGAACATGGCCCAGGGTAGGAACATAGCTGGGGTCCTTGGGTCCCACAACTGCAGGCAGGCTGAGACCAGAGCTCCATGGGGCCACAAACTGCCCCTGTTGTGGGCTGGTGCAGCTAAGCCCTGCTCCCCCTAAGGTGCCTAGCCCAGGGGACTCTGTAGAGGGGGTGGGGTAACCTCGCTGCCATCGCCTGGCCTGGCTCTCTTGGGAGCTCTCCACAGGGGCCCTCCCCCACAGCACTGGGGCCACGTCCTTTTCCGAGGGACCCAGTCCCCTACTGCTAGGAGAGGGAGCCCCAGGCCATCTGAAGAGAAACGCTGGGGGAGGAGGGAAACTGTTACATTAATTTGGATGGAGCTGCAGGCAGGCGGCTGAGCTGGGCAGGTGAATCAGCCACCACAGCTCTTCTCCAGCCTCTGGCTCACCATACCCCTGGTGGGGGACATCACCTGGCTGGTCTTAGCAGGCCCCTCTCCTTTCCTGTCCTTCACAGGCTGGCAGAGCTGGCTGGGCCATCTCGGCCTGTCAGGCTTCCACTACAGCATGATTGGGGTCAAAGTGGAGCAACGAGATGACCAGTGGGGGATGGGAAGGGACATACAAGCAAGGGGAAGACAGAGCAGGGTCTCGTATATCGGTCTGGGGTCCCGCAGTGCTGGCCGGGAATTCCCAGGAGCATGCTGGGGTCTGTGTGTCTCAGAGGACCCTGAGGTTTGTTAGAGGGCTTTCCGTTCACGCTCTCCTCTGGTTCTTGTCACGCAGACAGAAATCAGAAGTCCGAAGTGCAGGTAATTCGATGTCTATTGGGATTAGTTCCAAATAAGCATATCCATAGCTCTACACACCAGCAGAGTCTGTTTTCCAGTGTTCCGTTCCCAGCTCTGACACCGCAGAGCCTTGCTTGTGTCCCCGTTCCCTAATCCCCATTTCCCACCTCCTCCTTAGCAAGCCCAAATATACCTGCAATGCATGCTCACATTCCCAGCCCTTACAACTTAGGGTCATGTTCCATTTTGTGTCTGGGGTCTTCATCCCACCCCTTTTTTGTACCCCATGGGAGGGGTAAGGAGTGAGGTTGTGCTCTGGTCAGGGATGCACATTTCTTTCGTCTTTTAGTGCTTTATACCCCTCCCACCCCCCAAGCCCCTTTGCCCCTCCCGACTAGTTGCTTGACTTTGCCTTGAAATAGTGGTTGAGACAATCTTAGTGTGCTCTGGAGTAACACTTTAACAGCTCTTATCTGTTCCCATTGTACTAACAAATCCAGCTGACTAGGCAGAAGCAATATCAGTATCTTTGTGCCTTGTTTACACATTTTAGCATAAGAGTATCAAAAAGTCAAACCCAAAGTCTAGCCTAGGGTAACAAACAGACCTATATACTAACAAGGTTTACCAGTGGCGGGCAGAGGCTCTGGGCTGAAGCCTTTCCCTAGAAGTCCCGGGGATCCGTATTGTTGCCCCCACCAAGTCTCTGTGAGCAGGCCTTGAAGGGGGCATGGGCGGAACAGAGCCGCTTGTCACCCTGGCACCAATTAGCCCTGGCACACCAAGGCCACTCCATTACTCTCCAGTCCCAGTCTTCTCTTGTCTGCAAGCCATGGAGCTCGAGCCCTTTGTGTTAGCACCGATCCAGCCTGGCTGTGCTTCTCCTGTCCTGGCCATAGTCACTCAGTGTGCCAGGGCCTGGCATGCTTTGGAAACTAGCCTTGGCTTGTGTGCATGGTTCCGCCACCCTGCCTGGCCCAACTGGACTGTGCCTGGTGTCTGGGGCCTTCCTCTGCCTGCCCACAGGGGGAAAGCGGTCCTGAGTTTCCCTCTCCTTGTTCTGGGCACCATCGGCTTCATCTGAGGGTAGCACTGTGCCCCTCTTTCCATGCGCCATCGCTCTTGGTGCCCCAGCCTGACTGGGAGCAGACGCTGTACAGTAAAGGGAGCTGCAGGGGTGGGCCATACCGATACAACGGGGTCTGTGCCGAGCCAGGTGTGCTGTGGGCCCTCACTCTGCATTCTTTTTCTCTCCAGACCCATCGGCATCGGTGGAGCCCCAACTGGCCTCCCGGAAGCTGGTCTCGGCGCTGGACCGGCTCGTGCACCTCCGGGCCAGAAAGCGCAAAGCGCGGGAGGATGGGCCACTGGAGACTGCACGGGGCCCCACCCAGAAGCATGGGCGCAGCCAGCTGGAGTTGAAGCGGGCAAGGCGTGCTGGCGCCTGGAGGGCAGAGGAGAGGCAGAGCCTGGCCGAGTTCATCCAGCATGACCGGGAGATGCGGCAGGAGGACCGGGAGTTCCAGGCCCAGCTCCTGGAGAAGCTCTTCCAGAAGCAGCTGGAGATGGTGGGGGCCCTGGCCCAGCCCGCACCCCCACTGCAGGAGCCAGAGCCAGTGGCACGGGAGGGAGCTGGGCTCCAGTTCCACACTCTGCTGGAGCAGGCAGTGCAAGTGCAGGCCAAGGGGCAGGATGCTGAGACAGCCGGCCCCGCCCCTGCAGGAGCCTTGGAGCGAGCAGGGAAAGCACCCCCAGCCGTGCAGTACTGGACGGCAGATGAGATCCTGCGCTGGCTGGTGCCGCAGCAACCGCTGAATGGGCAGCAGACTTGGGGCGAGCGGTGTCGGGAGGGGCTGCTGGGCCCCCTGGCCTCACGGGGAGATGGAGAAGGGGGTGAGAATGAGACTGATCTCACCTCCTCCAGACGAGTGACTGACACCTGCCAGGGGCCCAAAGGCCTGCGGGGAGCCCGACTCCTCTCTCCCCTCGGCGGGGAAGCCCAACAGACCCACGCCAGCCTGGATGCCAGTGAGGCCGGTGACGGTGCCAAGGTGAAGGGAGCTGTCCTGCGCCGCCACGACACAGAGACGCAGCGCCAGCGCTTCAGGGGCTTCCGCTACCAGGACGCCGAAGGGCCGCGGGAGGTTTACGGCCGCCTGTGGGAACTTTCCCATCGCTGGCTGCAGCCAGAGACCCGCACCAAGGAGCAGGTGCTGGAGCTGCTGGTTCTCGAGCAGTTCTTGAGCCTCCTGCCTGAGGAAATGCAGAGCTGGGTGCGGGAGCGTGGCCCAGAGAGCGGCCAGGAGGCCGTGGCCCTGGCAGAGGATTTCCAGCTTGTTCCCCAGAAGCCCGGATGGCAGCCCCAGGTGAGCACGTGGGATGCTGCACATCCCATGGCCTCGCCCCCTGGGAGCAGAGTGGTGTGGGGGGTGATGGCACCAGGATTGCTGCTTGCCCTGTGCCTGGTCCTTGGTGCAGGGGACGTTTTGTGGCTCCACAGCATGGGCCCGTGTGGTGCTGGGGACAGTGCCTGGACTAGCTGGCACTAAGCAGAGACACTTGTTGTTTCAGGCGCGGGTGCCAGCCCAGGAAGGGGCCAGGGATGTCGGTGCAGCGCAGCGGGCCCTGCCGGCCGAGCGGCAGAGGGCGCCCCAGAGGGCCAGCGGGCAGGAGAACGGCTGGAACGGTGGTTTGTTGGGTGAGGCCTCCTTTCCCCAGCACTGGATCCGGCTGTCTCTGAACCGCTGGGTGGGCTCCAGCGCAGGGCTGGTCTCTGGATTCTGGGGGCTCAGCCTGGGTGGGCCCTAGGGGGACTAGCAGGAGATACCCTGAGTTCACCCCCATGCTGGCTGGGTGTGCCCTCAGCACCCAACCTGCTCCTCTGCCCCAGTACAGGCTGCAGTAGTTGTCACTGTACGGAGGCTGAAGGCCCTGGAGCATAGACAGAATGGGGAGATGTCTCCCTGCTCTCCGTTCTGGAGCTTGGAGCCACAGTGCCTCTGGCAGCCAGCAGCAGCTATAGCAAGGGAAGTCCTGCTTACCGCTGCAGCTGGAGTGTACTGGCCGGTCATACATGGGCTGGAGTGTGCTCTGGGGGATGGAGCATGCACAGGCTGGTTGCTCAAGGTGCTGAAACGTGCTCCGTCATGCGAGGGTATGGAGCATGCACAGGCTGGTCGCATGGAAGGCTGGAGTGTGCTTGAGGTAACTGGAATGTTCGGTAATTTTAGCAACTGAGTTCTAACAGATCTCTACTGAGCATGTGCAAACTTGACACTTTCTAGAGGCTCAGACGTGGCTGGGCGTGAGCAGGGTTTCATAGAAAAAGCCAAAGGCACCTCCCTGGCGCCAGCACCCCCTACCCAGTCTCTGGCCTTTGCTCCTGAGCATGGGGTGCCAGAGGTCCTATGTGAATATTATGGCCGGTTCGGTAACTGAGCGAAGCAAGCTGTTTTCCCACTCTCGTTTCTGGAAAGGGTTGAACGGTTCCCGCTGGATTCAGCGGGAGTCAGGCAGCTTGCAAGGAAACCCCAGCCCGGAAACCTGCAGTTTGGCAAAGATACATGCAGCTGAAAACAGGGTCCTGTAATGAGAAGTGTTGGGCAACTATAGCTATAGAGGGAGCTGCCAGCTCCGCCTGTAATGAAACCCTGGTGTCTTAAGTCCTTCCCGGTGCTGAGGGAGAGGAGAGTGCCATAGACCTGCTTGCCGGGGTCTGGGCTTTCCAGGCGGTTCCTGTGTGGTGTGAAGGTCCCAAGTCTCCTGCATTGACTCTCCCATGAGGCAGGGCCATGCTTTCATCCCCGTTACAGAGCTGAGGCCAGTGACCCTCTGTGACTGGCCCAAGGTCTGGGCACAGCCGAGATGAACTCAGCTCCCTGATGCCCAACCCCTTGGCCCCGGACTGGACCCTGTCTCTCTCGAGCAATAACTCTTGGTGATTTATTCTCCCAGCTGCCACGCCGTGTGCCCCGCTGGTGCGGAGACCAAGCCTGGGGGCAATTGAGCCAGCTGCTCCCCAGCCCCTGCGCAACAGAGCGGGCTCCAGGCAGGGACAGCAAGTGGAGAATGGCTTAGAGCCGCTGCAGAGCGCTGGGCACCTGCAGCAAGCAGAGAAGAACACTGCCCCAGTGCCACGCCCAGCAGCTGGGAAGGCGACTGAGCTATGCGTTGCTGGCCCAGGAGGGCATGTGGGGACGGACGGCGTGCTACAGGGCAGAGCCACCATTCAAGGGGGCAGCAGCATCTCAGAGGCTCAGAATGGGGCTCCATGTGAGCAGCAGATACCTGCTAGCCTCGTGCGGATGGAGCGCACCGGCTCCAAGGGCGGCAGGGCCTGCGGCGCCTTGCCCAGGAGCGCCGGCTGTGCATCCCCGGAGCTGGATGGCCCCGTGCTCGGGACCCTCCTGGAGACGTCCTTGGACTCCCCATGGGACAGAGAGGGCAGCACAGACAGGGCACCGGAGGGCGGTACAGCATGTCTGGGGACACAGCCCCGCTGCCTGAGCTGCACGGTACTGCGGGCTGATCTGGACGCCACGCGGGAGGAGCTGAGAATCACCCAAGGTAGGCACTGGTCCCTGGGGAGCCCATGGGGTCAAGGCTGCCATCAGGGGCTGCTCTGTCACCAGCCAGGGCCTGACGACAGCAAACAGATCCCAGAGGGGCTCAGCAGCCGCAGGCCCATTAGGCCAGGACAGGGAAGAGGCAGCACCTCTGGTGAGCAGGCCCAGGTTGACACTGTTGCCAAGGTTGGGAGTGAGTTTGGTGCCAAAGGCCCAGCCCTGGGTTTCTGAGCTCAGGGATTTACTCCATGGGGGTACCACTGGGGCAGTCCATAGAGAGACAGAATCGCAGCCCCAAGTTGGCACATGCACTAACAGAGTATCTCCATTAGGAGGCAGTGGTAGCGGGTGGTTATCCCAGTATTTGATAGCAGGGCATGGTGAGCGATCTGCTGGTTCTCATCAGCAGGCAGCAGTAGTAGGCTGTTTCCCAGGGCTGATGGGACTGGGCTCTGTTCCCAGCCACGGGGCAAGATCCATGCAGCGTGTTTGTCCTGCAGCTTCCACCCTGTACGGGCTGAGCGGCACCCACTTGCAGGGCCTGGCTGAGGCCCTGGGCACCATCTCGCGCATCCTGAACGACAGGAGGCCGACAACGAACAAACCCCCCTGGGGTGCGGCCGAGAGCCCCGGCATGGCTGTACCCCAACAGACACATGTAAGTGCCTGGCCAGACAAACAGCTGCCCTGGTGCCCTGCCCAGCAGGAGCACGCTGGGGCACAAGGCTGCCAGGGGCCAGCCTGGCGCAAGGCACCATAGTGCACAAATTGCTGTACTGGCTCTGACCTCAGTGCCTCAGCTCTCCCTCTGGGCTGCAGGGCCAGCAGCCATTGCACAGCCTGGGGAGCTCCTGGGAGGGCCATGGTGGTGCCACAGTAACCCGCCCTCCAGGCGCATTGAGAGGGCCCATGAGACTCCATGAGGCCGGGAGGTATCTGCCAATCCCCTTGCTGCCAAGGGGCTTGAGACTTTTCTCCTCTGAATTTCCAGTGGTTTGACAGAAAATTTTCCAATCGCTTCCAAGAATCATCAACTTCCCCTGCCAGGGAGACCCCTGGCAGCATGGGCCGGTCTCCCCCCAGAGACATGCACGGTGGCTGGTGGATGCAGGGCTCTGAGCGTGATGACCAGGGACACACTCATTACCTGACCCCAGTGCCCAGCGGGGGGCTGATGGGCTAGGCTTGGCAACTCCTGTTCTCACTCTGTCACTCCCCGCAGCTCTCCTGAAGCCCAAGTGCCTGATGAGCAGCTGGCCGTGGCCCACCACCAAGGAGCCCACACGTTCAGCAGCAGCGTCGGCAGCCCCAGGGAGAAGGTGACAACCTCCCACTAGATCCCAGAGCTGCTAACATCAAGCCCCATACTCGTGGCAGAGCCTGCAGCAGGGAGGCCTTGGACAGAACCTATGGGGCACTGGGCTGACTGCCTGGGGGTGTTGGGAGCTGGATCCAGCGGGGCCTGTGCTGAGCCAGGGGAGCTGGCGTCTCATCACTGGACTTTCCAGGGAGCCTTTCCTACTCCGCTAGCTTTTTGATACAATGTCCCCAAAACCCTCTACTTCCCCTTCACTTCTCAGGTTGGTCTCAATAAAGCAATGCACAGAGCTCCAGGCCCGGGGACGTGGTGCCTGCAAATGGGAGGAAGTGGCTGTGTCAGGGACTCCCGAGTGCACCATGGCTCATCCTGATCTCCCTGGGTATGGCAGGGCATGGTCTCAGCACCCAGCCTGCCTTTCTGGGCACCCATTTGGTGAGGGAAGCCCCCAGCCAGAGTGCACCACTGGCCACTGCTGGGGGAGGGAGCCTGTCAGGGGAGTGTCCAGTTAGTTCAACCAGGAGAAGGTTCAGGGGTGACTTGAGCCCTGCCTGTCTGTACCTATGTGGGGAACAACTCTACAGCAATGGACTGTGCAGAGGGCCAAGAAAGGTCCAACACCATTTTGGGGCTGGAAGTTGAAGCTGGACTAATTCATCCTGGAAATAAGGTGTCAGTTTTTAATGTGACAGTAAAGATCCAAGGGACTGTTTCCCAAGGACCATGGTGGCTCCTCCCTTGCTGTCGATTGAAAATCAAGATGGGCTGTTCTAAACGCTCTTGCTCTAGGGCTAATGTTGGGGTCATTCGTGACCTGAGCAATGCAGGAGGCCAGACTAGGTGATCACAATGATCCCTTCTGGCCTTGGTATTGATGACCCCGATGGTTGAGGGGCTGGGATTAAAGCAGATGACTTGGGGAAGGGGTCCTGGCTCTCTGCTGCTTCTCCTCCTCTCCCTGCCAATTAACCATGCTCCATGACAATCCATCCCCCACCAGCCACTCAGCTGGTGCTTGTTGAGCCTGTCGAGTTAAGCATGGCCCACCAACACATGGTGTTGTCTCTGTCATGTTTTTCAGAGCAGAGAAGCAGGAGCCTGTGTTCACGGGGAGGCTGGGAAATCCCTCCAGGAGCATGGTGGACGTTTTGGAGGCTGCATTAGCTGGGAGTCTGGGAAATCCCTCCATCAACACGGTGGGGGGTTCCAGATGATGCGTTAGCCAGGAGGCTGGGAAATCCCTCCCCCAGCATAGCGGGCGTTTTGGAGGCCGCACTGGGGGGAGGCTGGGAAATTGCTGCAGTGGCACAGCAGGTGGTTCAGACACTGTGCTAGTGGTGAAGCTGGGAAATTCCCCCCCGCCCCCCCCAGTGGTTCAGTGGACGTTGGCTTAGTGGGGAGGCTGGGGAATCCCTCCAGCGGCATGGTGGGTGTTTTGGGATGTTGTTTTAGGTGGAAGGCTGGGAAATCCCCGCCAGCGCCATGGAGGGCGTTTGTTATTCAATTTGAGGGAGGTTGTAAAAGTGGGATCTATTCAGCAGTGCAGTGAGTGGGAACAAAACCATGAAGCCTCATTGAGAATGGACTTTGAAGGGTGTTTGCAAACCAAGGCCCCTGCAGTGACGAGCATGGACCCCAGCACATGGCCAGAGCCCCCAGAACACCCCACTAGAACCTCAGCCAGTCAAGTACCCTGCCTATTAAAAGTGACTGGTCTGTGGTGGCATGGGAGAATGCACCACATTTATTCTCCCTGTGCCAGAGGAGCATCACCCATGTGTGGGGCAGATAGGGGGAAGGGACCCCTCAGACTCCCCCAGAGGAACATCAGAGAGCCCCTTTGGTTACAGCTCTCTCCAGCCCAGGTCACTTCTCCCTTGTGGCTGCAGAAGAGATGCAAGTGGCTCAGAGCTGAGAGGACACACCCACCTGGCTCTCAGGCTGTGCTGGGGTTAGTGCCACACTTTGGCTGCCTCAGAGACGGGCCAGCAGCTGTCCAGCCGACACTTTCCTTCCTTTGGCCTTTGCCTGGGTTAGGGTGTGCTGGAGGGAGCGTGCTGGCCCAGGGCTCTGCCTCCTGCTTGCCTGGCACTGGGACATTGGCTCTAGGTGCATGGGGCAGAGTTTAGGACCAGTCATTACTGTGCCAGCCTGGCCCAGTGAAGGCTTGCAGAGAGATGCTCTTGCAGGCCTGTAGCACCCCTCTGGCCCACCCGGGCTTCACAGCCAGAGAATGCCTGGCTGGACTGGCCCCATGGCAAACACACTTCTTTGGGTTCAGCCAGAGGGAAACACCCTAGTACTGTGCTAACTGGTGGCTGTTAACCCCCCCACAGGAGTAGAGGAGTTGGAGACGTGACTGGTGAGGGGGAGTTTCTCCAAACCAGCGGCAGGGTAACGTCTGACTCTGACCCCAGGTGGGGTGGAACTGGGCAGGGCAGGAGGGCCCAGTGGAGCCCAGCCAAGTGGGGCAGTAGACCTTGGTATAGTGCAGAAGGGCCTTGCCAGGCGTGGTGGGGCTGGTCCACATAAGTGCGGGGAGGGAACTATTTCTCCACCCTCAGATAATACTTTGCTTCCCCCAACCCTCCACCGCTGCTTTGCTCCCAGAACAGCTGCGGGGGGTGACTGCAACACACGGCGATGGGCACGGAGCCGTGGAGGTGCTCAGCGGGGGTGCCCCCCGCAGGAATTCCCTAGAGCTCCGAGCAGGCATATGAAGTCTGCATGGCTTCACTGCTCTGGGACACTGCCCCCCAGCACAGACAAGCCCCTCCATGCCCCCCTGCCATCCCCGGAAGGCACCAATGTGCCCCTGCAGCCTCTGGGGGGAAAGGGGGCTGGACAGCATGTGACTCTGTGCACTGCCCCTCTGCAAGCACCACCCTCTCAGCTCCCATTGCCCACAGCTCCCTGTTCACAGCCAATGGCAGCTGTGGGGGCAGTGCTTGCAGGCAGGAGCAGTGCATGGAGGGAAACCCCTGGCCCCATTCATGCTTCTCCCATGGAAGCAGCTTAGCAAAATCAACAAACCTACCCTGCTATTTACATTAGGAGGATAATTGATGCTGAATATTGCAACTGACAGAATGTGATATAAACAAATATCGCACAGAAAAAATGTTTTACTGCAGTGTTTTCCACAGAAATTGAAATTAGGGGGTGTGTTCAAAAATACAGGGGGAGGACTGATGAGGGGTGAGACTGTTTGGGCAAAGATGGGCTATATGGCACCATAGTAAAAACTGAAAAATGTTTCACAACCATTTTATTAGATTTAACTCGTTTTTAAATCATAACACCAATTAAAGTTGGCTATACAAGCCTACTATGAAGCACTATATCTACATCCTTCTTGGTTTGTTGTTATAATTTTGCACAACTCTGTTAATGACCTTCTCGAATGCAGTGCTTTCATTTTTGGTGGCTTCTCGTGTCAGGTACTTTCAGTCCTTCATGATATGCTCATGATCAGGCAGAAGGCGACTTCTTTCAGAACACAAAATTCTATTCAATGAGGAAAAGGAACACTCAGCTGTAGCTGTTGTGACTGGGAGTAGAAAGAGATGAATTCCTACTTCTTTAATCCCAGGAACCCGCACAAAAATTGGGTTGAACCATTAGTGATGATGATGATGAAGTTGAAATCAAATCTACATTCGTTCATCAGACGATATTCCACTCTGTGTTCAAATTCTCTATTCTGTAGTGGTCATATGGCAGCCCCATTGCTGGTAGTGCCTCATTCCACATAACTGTCGGTGTTTTATAAGACAGGCATCTGTAAAAGCTAGGTTGATGGAATCCAAAAGTAGTTGTGTAGAGATGTAAGAATCAAGTCCATGTACTTTACTTTTTCAGCTGGCTTAACAAACACTTCTTGTCTTCTTCATTTAAGCAGTTAATATAAGTGCCTTAATTAGTCAACTTCTGAACTGAAGTCTTTGCTTCTTCCAGTACATTTTCAATGGATATCACTCTGATCCAAGTGTAGCTTCCAGTGCTGGACAGAGATCTATTACTATTGTAGCAGATGCCTGGATGCCATTGTTTAATGACCTAAGTGGTTTCAACAGTAGACTTAAGAGAGAGTGGCGATTGTGTTCTCTGAATTTAGTAGGAAAAGTAGTCCACCAGCCTTACTACTTAGATCTGTCCCATCTCGGTAGATACTTTCCAAAGCCGCCAATAATGGTTGTAGTAATTTTAAGACAACAGCCAGGGATCACTCATGAGAAAGCCAGTTGATTTTCCCAGGTTGGACTAATTTGAACTTCTGTCCCAATGCATCTTCTATATTTTACAAGACATTTAGTCCTGAAACGGGATAATGAAAACATTAAATATATAGCTTTTTAAATGCCTTTTGAAGATTCTGCAGCTTGTACTAGCACTAGTTGGAGTAGAAGGCCTCTGTAGTGTGTATTGGAGAGATTAGAGTTACACTTTTCTCTGAGCAAAGCTTGTGCTCCACTATGTCTTCTAGAGAAGTTTGCAGCTCCATCAAATGCACAAACAGATATCAGTTTGGGGTTCAATTGACAAGCATTTAATTCTTCTCAGATGTGGGTGTGCATACTCAGGCAGTGTGGGTCACACTTGGGGCAGCTGCCCCCTTTCAGGTCGATCGGCCCAGGCTCTGCGCAGACTCAGGCAGCATGGCTGACACACGAGGGAAGCTGCTTCTTCTCCAGGCAGTCGGCCCAGGCTCTGTGCAAACTATGGCAGCATGGGTCACACCAGGGGCAGCTGCCCCCTCTCTGGGTGATCGGCCCAGGCTCTGCACAGACTTAGGGAGTGTGGGTCATACGGGGGAAGCTGCCCCCTATCTAGGCGATCAGCTTAGGCTCTGCACAGGCCCAGGCTCTGTCAGAGGTGCAGCCAATGTGTTTTCTATAACCTGAACATCTAGAAATTCATCTACTGACCTACCACTGATATCAACATAGCATAGGTAGTGACTTAATACTTGACACCTGGGGTCCTGAGTGAGTGGACTCCCTGAAGGGGCCCACACGAAAGACAGGTGTGCTAAAGGCTCAGAGAGGTGCAGTTCCAGGAGGTGAAGGGGCTTAATCCCTGAGAGTGGATCCCCAAGAAGGGCTGTCACACTGAAGGGGGTTCCCCCCAGGGACTGTACAGGGCCAAGAGTCGGCATGACCTGTGAGTCCGTGACAACACCTATTTACATCGGTGTGTGTTCATCAGCCACGTATGCAGATTTTCTGAATGCGGTGACAGAGTTCTTTACTTTTTCAACTGCTCAGTCTTTCACTGTAGCACCGCATGCTTCTAACCAGTCAGCTGAGTTTCTTGCAGAAAGATAGTGAGCATTTGCTGGTCTTGGTTGGAACGAGTGTCCAACTTCAGGATTAACAAATGACAATGCTCTTAACATTGGCCTCCAGTTTGTAGTGTGCGTGGTATCTCTTGCTTTAAGAGCAAGTATGATGTGACAGTCATGTTTGTTTGCATAAACTGTGTTGTGGCTCCAGCATTCTTAACAGTCTCTTTTTAAGTACTTCTAAAATTGGCTTTGGCAATTACTGGCTTATAAGGCTTTCTGCATGGTGATGCAATCCAGAGGATTTCACAGTTTGCAGCCTTTTCACATAGTTTATCAGCTTTGGCTTTGCTGATCAGTCTGGTAAACCAAGCTCCTCCACTTTTACTATAAATCCATGGTATGCTCACATCTTGAATACTGCATGCAGTTCTGGTTGCCCCATCTCAAACAAGATATACTGGAGTTGGAAAAGGTACAGAGAAGGGCAACTAAAATGATTAGGTGTATGGAACAGCTTCCATGTAAGGAGAGATTAAAAAGACTTTCCGGCTTGGAAAAGAGATGACTAAGAGGGGATATGATAGAGGTGTATAAAATCTTGACTGGTGCGGAGAAAGTGAAAAGCTTCCTTACATAACACAAGAACTAGGGGTCACCCAATGAAATTAATAGGCAGCAGGTTTAAAACAAACAAAAGGAAATATTTCTTCACACAAGGCAGTGAACCTGTGGAACTTTTAGCCAGGGGCTGTTGTGAAGGCCAAAACTAGAACAGGATTCAAAAAAGAACTTAAGTTCATGGAGGATATGTCCATCAATGGCTATTAGCCAGGATGCAACACCATGCTCTGAGAGCCTCTGTTTGCCTGAAGCTGGGAGTGGATGGCAGGAGATGTATCACTCAATAATTGCCCTGTTCTGTTAATTCCCTTTGAAGCACCTGGCATTGGCCACTGTTGGAAGACCGAGTACTGGGCTAGATGGACCACTGGTCTGACCCAATATGGCTATTCTTATGTTTTCATGTAAAAATTATAATAAAAATGTTTAATACAGAAACTCCCAAAACCAGCCAAAATTGATCACTTGGGCAGCACAGCTCTGTCTGCTGGATACCTAATGTTTCAATTTCAATTCAAATTTCCAATCAATGACTAAATTGGCAACACTGCATGTAACTAGTTGGCCAATGGGGGGTGTTGGTGAAATTGAGGGGGTGGTGTAGGGAAGGCCTGGCATTACTGAATTAAGTCCCCTGTTGTAGCACTTCAGTAGGTTACATCTGACAAAGAGGAGCTGCAGTGACTAGGCATTCGGATACCTGTGCCTTTAAGAAAAGGGCATTGGAATGCCTGTGCCTTTAAGAGCCAGCGCTGGGAAGCCCTGCTGAGAGATACTGTCTGTGGGAGGGGAAATAAAACAGCCCCTCTGCTCCCTGCACTGTATTTTTCCCCCACTGGTGTCTCAGTCCACTGGGGTAACTGTTACCCCCTCTGCCCCTGCCAGTGCCAGGGTTTTGCCCTCTGTCACCCTCTGGCTGTGCCTCACCCCTGGGATCAACCCCAGCTCCTTCCTCCCCCTCCCTGATTTTGCCTTAGGCCCCTCTTCTAACCCTGCTTCCAACTGCTTGACCCCCATGACTAGTCAATTTCCGCCCCCCTGCTCAGACCCTGGCCACCTCCCTGCTCTGATTTGCCCCCTTTGCCCCTTTTAAACCCCTGTAAAAAGCAGTCTGCAGAATCTTATGGCTAATAAGGGCAGGGTGAAGGGCAGTGGCTTCAGTGGATGTTACTGAGCATGCTCAGTACACCATAAGTAGCACATTACTACAGGGAGCCAGCCTGCCAGCCACCTCCAGCTGGTGTCCACTGTCTATGCTGTGTTCCCAACCCCCAACTCCAGGGCACATCTATAAATTCCTATGTTTGTAATATTATCCCTTATGAGGGACCATCTCTACTCACTGTAGGACAAATCTCCCCAGTGGGATCACCACATGGCACTCATGGCTCTGTTAGCCACCCACCCCAGCCTTCTGCATCTTTCCCGAGGCTGGATCCCACACTTCCTGCTTCTGATTGTTCCCCGTCTCCATTCCGCTGTCCTGGGCTGTGGGAGTTGGCTTAGCGCACCACCAGCAGCTGTGCTGGTCCCAGCCCGGGCTGTGTTGAGGCCATGGAGCATTCCTGTGCACCAGGACTGTTACACAGGGACAAAACCTCAAAGATATAGTTGCCTTACCTTGCTTCCCCTGCTGCCCGTTCTCCCATTGCTTTGTGGGGAAGACTCCTGGCTGCAAAGAAAACTTCCAAAAGTGAACCCCGTGACCAACACTTTTGAAGCACTTGGAGAAGAGGAAGGTGATGAGGAACAGTCAGCATAGATTCACCAAGGGCAAGTCATGCCTGACCAACCTGATTGCCTTCTATGACGAGATAACTGGCTCTGTGAATATGGGGAAAGCAGTGGATGTGATATATCTTGACTTTAGCAAAGCTTTTGATAAGGTCTCCTACAGTATACTTGCCAGTTAAAGAAGTATGGATTGGATAAATGGACTATAAGGTGGATAGAAAGCTGGCTAGATTGTCAGGCTCAACGGGTAGTGATCAACGGCTCGATGTCTAGTTGGCACCTGGTATCAAGCAGAGTGCCCCAGAGGTCGGTCCTGGGGCTGGTTTTGTTCAACATCTTTATCAGTGATCTGGATGATGGGATTAATTGCACCCTAAGCAAGTTCGCAGATGACATTAAACTGCGGGGAAAGGTAGATACACTGGAGGGAAGGGATAGGGTCCAGAGTGACTGAGACAAATTGGAGGATTGGGCCAAAAGAAATTTGATGAGGTTCAACAAGGACAAGTGCAGAGTCCTGCACTTAGGAAGGAAGAATCCCATGCACCGCTATAGGCTGGGGACCGACAGGCTAAGCAGCAGTTCTTCAGAAAAGGACCTGACCTGGGGATTACCGAGAACAAGAAGCTGGATATGAGTCAGCATGTGCCCTTGTTGCAAGAAGGCTAATGGCATATTGGGCTGCATTAGTAGGAGCGT